CGAGGTCCATGTGTATAGTCGTCTCTTATGCTGTCTAAAGAAGGTATAGGCATATAGTAATTACTCAATTTTGAGTGCTTTGGCTCTCAGAGCCTTCTGTTTCCCCATCTGAAAGGTGAGCTGGTAGCCCTGCCAAAGCTTTGTCCTCTAGCATGTTTCCTTTGTTCCCTCCCCCACCCACCATCTCACACACACATTGGAGGCCTTCAGGGAAGGTATCAACTGTCAGTCTCCCATCAGAAGAGTTTCCCCTCTGCCATAGGTCACTGGTGGTCACAAAAATAGCAGAGGTGGCACCTGGTGTGCAACTTAAACACTTCTAAAGAGTGCACAAGAACTCTTTAAACTGTTCAAGAGTAAAGATATCAGTTTGAGGACTAAGGTGCTCCTGACCTAATTTCAATAACCTCATATGCATGCAAAAGTTGGAAAGTGAATTATGAAGACCGTATAAGAATTGATGCATTTGACTTATCATGTTGGATAAGAATACTGCTGGGAGAACAAACAAATCGATGTTGGAAGAAATACAGCCAGAATGCTCCCTGGGAGCCAGGGTAGCATGTCTTTTGTCTCTCATACTTTGGAGGGACCAGAAAGGACCAGCCCCTGGAGAAGGACATCATGCTTGATAACATGGAGGATCAGTGAAAAAGAGGAAGACCCCCAAGATGGATTGGCCCAGTGGCAGTAGCAATGGTCTCAAGCGTAGTGACAGTTGTGAGGTTGGTGAAGAACACTGTGCAGTGTTCCCTTCTGCTGTGCATAGGGTCACTATGAGTCAGAACTGGCTCGACGATTGTTTTTGTGTTTTTAAAAATTATTCCATTTACTTTATTTATACATTTTTAAACTTTATTCATTTAATTTTGGTCTTTTTAAAAATTATTTTTCATCTTCTCATTGGCACAATGGGTATAAGAGACCGTGCCCTCCTCACCTAAGCACACAGATGGCAGATGGTGTCTTCATGTGAGGAGTCATGACCTGGGAACTTGAAGGCATCCTCATGAAGCAGCGGGTGCTGCCTTCAGTAGGGTAGAAAGATTTCCACCTCAGTCATTGTGCATCTGCTGGTTGTACCTGTCTATCTCAGCACTTCAGAAAAAGTGTACCTGGCTCTGGGTGTGGCTCCACCTCTGTGCACCTGCTTCAAGGAGGGTATACCTGAATATACCTGCTTCAGTCAGGGTGTACCTGTTCAGTGTTCCTGTTGCCATCTGGAAAGTGTCTGGGGGTATTTATCTTTCTAACTATGGGCATACCTCTACGTACCTGATTCTTTCAATCAGTACCTTTCGTCCGTCGGGGTAAACTTGGGGAGTGTTCTTATGTGTGAATGTACCTGGCTGTACCTGGATTTGTTATCACCGTGTATCTCCGTGCGTAGAACTGACTCGCTCTGTGTTTGCCTTATGCTTACCGGCCGGGCACTCTCCTCCCAGTCTCCTGACCCTGGGGGCCTAGAGGCACAGGGAAGGGGCCGCGTCCCATAGCTCCGCCTGCGCTTGCGTCTGCAATGCCCCCACCTGCGGGATTCCGGGCCTGGCCTTGCTCCCTGGAGCCGAGAGGGCGGGGCCAGGCACAGGGGCGGGGCGGGGGCGGAGCAGGAAGGGGCGGTGGCCGCTCCTCCCCCTCCGCCCCGCGGCTCCTCAGACCAGCTCTCGTCGCCTTTGCCCGGCTTCCGCGTCACCGCCCTTAACCCCACCTGCTCGCCGCCGACCCGTATAAAACTCGGGTGGCCTTGCCCCCGGGACTCGGCCCCATGGAGACGCCGCCGGCCGCGGCTGGCGCACCGTGGGGTGAGCGCTCACGACGGGGAGGGGGCGCGGGCCTCAGAGTCTGGCCGGGATAGCGAGTGGGGAGGGCTTTGGCTGAGTCCGTTCGGAGCGAGAGGGACGTAGGGCTAGTGCCCCCGAGGCTCACCGGTCCCCAGACTCCCCCTCCAACTTAGCTTGAGTTGGAAGAACCCGGGGATTGGGACCAAGGTCCGGGTGGGGGAGCCGAGCGCGCGCGGTCTTGGGGCCGGGACAGACTCCGCGTCACCGGCGCCTGGCGGCCAACCAGAGTTTCCCAGCAACTTTTCTCAACGGTGGGTCGCCTCGGAAACTTCCCCGCCCCTGACCCGGGAGTCCGGCCCTACCGGCCCTTGTGCCACGGGCGGGCGCTGGGCGAGTAGGCGGAGGCGATGGCCTCAGAGGGGAAACCCCAGTTTCCGAGGCACTTCCAACCCTTGGTTTCCGCGTGAAGGCGCCGCCCCGCAGCTGTGGGGGCGCGGCGAGGTCTGGCGAAGCCCCCTCGGCCATTAGGGTCTCCAGGGTTGGCGTGGGGTGGGAGGGGGGTAGGAGGCTGAGTCAGGCCGCCTGACCTTAAATCCTGGAGCCAGCCACCAGTTAACAGCTGGAAGACCAAGAGGAGATTCTTCGTCTCTATGCCTCAGTTTCCTTCTTTATATGGTGGGAAGAGTACTCCCTATTTGGGAGAACATTTGAGAGCATTTAAAGGTAACATGGAGTCCTGATGTGGCGCAGTAGGGTAAGCACTGCCAACCACCAGGTCGCCGGAAACCCTGTAGAGAGTTGCTGTGAGTCGGAACTGACTCGATGCCAGGATGCCACAGGTGGAGGTGGCTTTCGTTGTGTTGGGTGGGGAGGAGTGGGAGAGAGCAGCATTGCCCCCCGCCTGATCCTTGTGGTTGACCTGCAGGAGCTGTGACAGGTGCCTGGACGGAGGCTGAGCTATGAGTACCCCTTGCGGAGAGAGGCCCTTAGAGGCAGCCATCCCGGCCATGAGTCTGTGGGAGCCTGAGGATGGACACAGCTGGCAGGTCACCCCGGGGCTAGCGCAAGAGCCTGTCTCTGTGGAGGCTTCCACTACAGAGCTACAGATGAAGGTGGACTTCTTCCGGAAACTGGGCTACTCGCCCACTGAGATCCACAGTGTCCTGCAGAAGCTGGGCGTTCAGGCAGACACCAATACAGTGCTGGGAGAGCTGGTGAAACATGGCTCAGCAGCCGAACGGGAACTCCAGGCCTCACCGGACCCCTGCCCTCAGCTGCCTCTGGTGCCCCGGGGCGGAGGCACCCCCAAGATTCCCACTGTGGAGTCTTCACCCCCAGAGGACGACAAAGATAGCGGTGACCTGAGACCTGTGGTCATCGACGGGAGCAATGTGGCCATGAGGTATGTGTCACTTCTGTGGTCAGGATTCATGGCTAGTGCCAGGGGAGTGAGTCTAGACTGGGCTGGAAGAATGGAAAGCCTTTTAATGAGGCCCTGCTTTATTTATGCCAGTTGATTTAAGTGCCTCAAATCGGTTTTAACTCATAGTGACCCTATACAGGGTTTCCAAGGAGCAACTGGTAGGTTTGAACTGCAAACCTGTGGTTAGCAGTTTAGTGCTTATCCTACAGCGCCACACCAGGCCTCCCCTAAGTGTGCCAGTAGCTCCCTTAGTCCTTCTAACTTCGTAAGATGAGTTTGAGAAGAATGTCGAGGGATGAGAACACAGGCGCAAAGACTTGCCTGCATTCACACTGCTAGTAAGTGGTGGAGTGGGGATTCGAACCCAGGCCTTTCCGACTCCAGAGGTCACCTATGCCACCACTCTCACAGCCTCAGTTCGTGTCCTGTTATCCGAGGCAGTGTAGTGCAATGGATTAGAATGTGGACTCCAGTGTTAAACGCCAGTTACTTAACCCCTCTGAGTCTTACGTCCTCATCTGTAAAAATGGATCTAACTGTACTCCCCACCTGGTGAGGAGTAAATGCTCTGTAAACTGTAGCTATTATTAGGGGCTGGGGTTTCTGAGGCCTTGTTGTCCACACCCGGACTTGCAGTGAATAAAGCCTTCCTGGTTGTAACCAGGAGTGACCTTGAGGCTCTGTCACTAGGGGGGTGTGGTGGTGGCCTGATCCTCTGGATTCAGGTGAGCTGGAGCTGCCTGGGCAGGACTGGGCTCTATGGGACTCCCCAGGGCCAGAGCCAGAACTGGGCCTCTGACACAAGCCATCACAGCCAAAGGGGTGGGGTGGGGGCAGAGGGCGAGGCCCCACCCTCTGGCCCTGCTTTCTCCCAGTTTCCTCCAAGCTGCAGGTGAGTCAGGACTGGGTGGAGCTTTCACAAGGAAACCCCCACCCCCCAGTTTATTCCTGATGGGGTGAACTCGGAGACCCCAGGTACATGGATAGGGAAGAAGCTCCCAAGTGGGTTGCCTAATGTCAGCCTCAGTCCTCTGTAGCATCTGACCCGTCCCACTCCTGGCCTAGCAGGGCAAGTCAGATTGTCAGCTGGTCCAGGCCCCACGCCCTCTTGCTGCAGTCAGCCACTCAGTCTTCCCATCTCTGAAATGGTCTGAACCTGGCTGGGAGCTGTAGCAGGAGCAGCCTGTGCTTTGAGGGTTAGGGGCCCCAGCAGCATGTGACTGGGTAGGGAGCCTAGGTGGTTCTTTGTTGTTGTTTAGTGCCATTGAGTTGATTCCAACGCATGGTGACCCTGTACGGGGGTTTCCAGGGAACAGCTGGTGGTTTTGAACACCAACCTTTGCAGCCCATTGTTTATCCTGCATCGCCTCACTGAGAGTCTGTATCTCCCTTATCTATCCTTCCTGGGAAACTTAGAGGGGAGGTTCTGGGTGAGAGTGGCTGAGCCCTTAGGGCCACCATGTGCTGTGTGTTTGGATCCAGGCTGAAGGAGGAGGGGCCTAGGAGGATGGATCAAGGGAGCATGCGCCTCTGAGCCTCAAGGCAGAGCCGCCTGGGCTTTCTGAGCCAGACAGGGGCAGGTGGGGAATTCCAGCCTCAAATTTCCTGTCTCAGCTACGACTCAGTTCCTGCTCAGCACCCTCCCCCCACCACCGGGGCCGGCAGGCCAGCCCCCACTGTATGCAAATTGTGGGGAAATTCACCTCTGTTTCCTTCTAAGGGAATTTTTCTCCACGGCAGGCCCAGCCCTGGCCAATCTTCTCACCTGGAGAGCTTGGCTCCATCTCCTGTGTGCTCTAGTAGCCCCGCTAACTAATCCCACCAGTGCTTGCCTGCTGGGGCCCTAACCTTCTGAGGAGTGCCTGCGTGCCGTGCTGTCCGGGGTGAGGGCTGCCAGCAGGGCTTCCTCTGTTGCAGAGAGGGAGACAAAAAAAGCTAGCCCTAGGGAGGCCCTCCTGGCTTGTGCGGACACAGCCTGGGCTCCATCCACAGGACTAGAACCTGGGTTCTATTTCCACTCAGAGTAGGCCCTGTCATCCTTCCAAAGTACTGTTCCAGAGGCTGGGACTAATGTGAGCAGGCTGGGGTTTGGTGTCTAGAAGTAGTATACTGCCCCAGAAGCCCTTGGTGCCCCATGATGCTGGGCTAGGATGGATAGACGCATATACAGGTAGGCAGATGCTTGTGCAGAAGTTACCTGAGCCAGGAACCACACTAGAGGGGGCCACGCCCTCCAGGGTGATGGGGGACCATGAACATATAAAGACACAAACCAGGGACCTGACCCTTCCCAGCATGTCAGAGATGGTTTCTCAGAGGCCGGACGCCTCTATGGGCCCTGAAGGAGGAGCAGGAGTGTGCAGGATGCATTATTTCTCCTGTTCCTAGCCTGCCCCTAACACTTCTGTCCCTCTTCAAAGGCTAGTTTGTGGTCAGGTCAGGCGTTTAGGCTAGAAACGCTGGAGTCATTCTGTTCTGTCCTATAGGGTTGCTATGAGGTGGAAGGACATCCTGGGGTCTGTTGTCTGACTATGGAAATTAAGTCACCCCCTCTGAACTACAATTGTCTCTGAAAAGGAGGTGCTAGACTAAGGTCTACTTTTTGGTTTTGTACTTTCCAAAGAAAAGAGGTGAAAAGATGGATTTAGTTGATAGTATCCTCCTCAGAGTTGTTGAAGATTAAACATTAGCACCTAGAACAGGGTCTGTTCCTGAGCTTTCAGAGAATGTTAACTTCTGTTATGAGCAGGGCCAACAGACAGGCAACCAGACAGGGTTGAACTTTGCCTCTCTTACAATTTACAGAGACTTTCAGCCCCCGGAGCCCCAGCCTCACCCCCTAACAGTCTGCATGTCCCCCTAGTTGTCTCGCCTGCCTCTGTAACTTCTCTTGGGGTTCCAGCTATCACCCCCAGAAAGCTACCCACAGGATGTGGTCGGCCATGGACTTGCCTCTTTTGCGTAACATTTACTCTGTTTTATTTGCCAGACTTGAGAGTCTGAGTTGCTCACTGAGGGCCAGTGAGTGGGTTGGACTTCAAGGGAGGGAGCCCCAGCCTTTCCCAAAGGCTCTTTCCTGCTACCTAGTGTTTGCTGTGAGCACTGAGCTCTGACCACCCCTTCCCACCCTCTGCTCTCAGGGAATCTGAGCTGGAAGCTCATTTTGTTGAACTGTCTTTCACCTCAAGCAAACAGGAAAGTTTTCTCACCAACTGTTGTTGTTACTGTCAAGTCAGCCCCTGACTCATAACCCCATTCCTTCTTAACGAAGCAAAAATGAATAGGCCCACTTTACAGACAAAAGAAACTGAGAGCCAGAGCAACCCAGGGACAGCCAGGCTGTCTTCTGGACACAGCGGTCATCAGCTCCCCCCCTCCACTAGCAGAGTACCCCACCAACTTTCTGCTGCTCTGAGGACTGGGCAGGTCAGGAGTTTGGGGGTTGGGGGAGAACTGGCAGTCTTGGATGGAAAACCAGTGTCCTTTCACTTTCAAGCTGAAAGGTTTCAAAAGAGTATCTGCCCTCTGTCACTTCCTGCCCCTCATTTCATGTTGGACTTGCTGACCCCTCTCCAGGTTTCAGAGGTTTGTGTGAGCAAATTATAATCGGCGCAATCTGCTTTCTCTAGTTAGCCACACAGGGTGCCCCCCCCCCCCCCGCCCCCGTGTCCCAGCTAAACAAGTCAGCCCTGGGCAGGGTAATGACTCAGTTAGCTCTTGGTGTGTGTGTGTGTATCCCTGTGGTCCCAGCAGCTCCCAGGGTGGGGCAAGAACCAGAAGTCTCCCAGCACCTTTCCCCCACCCCTAGGTGTTGCAAGCCACCTGACCCTCCCTCACTGTGGGGAGCGGGTGCTGCCAGATTCCTGGGTGTTTCCTCCTTTTCAGGGCAAGTCCTTAGTTGACCATCCCAGGCACAGTTGAGAACCAGGCAGGCACCAGGCCTGGGGGCTCCACAGTGTGAAGACAGTGAGTGGGCTAAGCCCCAGCAACAGGGTTAGCGGGGTCTGCCATGCATCCTGCTCCCTCCTCCTACCTAGGCCTACCCTTGGGGACTGACTTGGTCCCTTCTTTGTCCACCAGCCACGGGAACAAGGAGGTGTTCTCCTGTCGGGGCATCCTGCTGGCTGTGAACTGGTTTCTGGAGCGGGGCCATACTGACATCACGGTGTTTGTGCCATCCTGGAGGAAGGAGCAACCCCGGCCTGATGTGCCCATCACTGGTGAGTTCTGAGGCTGTCCCAGGAGACCCACTTCTAGAGCCCACACAAGGACAAGCCATTCCTACCCCAGCTCTGGTTGTCCTCAGTCATCCTGCTCTGAACAGAAGTCCCTGGGGGTACCTTGTCCCACCTTCTGCCTCCAGCCACTGGGTAGTCTCCTGTTCTAGAGGGATTGTCTTTCAGCATCCCCAGTGCAGAGAGGTGATCTGCATGGGGCTTCCCTGTGGACCATGGCTGGACTCCTGGCTCTGTGAGCCACTAGTTTTTCACCAGTGAAATGAGGGTGAGGTGATAGCAGCCAGTGGTTTGTGCTAAGCACCTCACAGAGTGCCTAGCACACAGTAAGTGCTCAGTAAATGTTAGTGCTGACAACAACAAGAACCCCCTGACCTTTGTAGGTAAGAACCAAGATCTAGGAGCAGGCTGGCTGGAGCCCCCAGCTCCAGGAAGTCTCTTTCCAGATACTATAAACAGCTTCTTCCAGGCTACACAGGGCACAGCCAAACACTCCTTTGGCCGCTCAGGCTGGGGTTCCTTCACAGACTCCTATAGGACAGGACAGGACAAGGCTGGGTGACAAGTCACAACCACATCTGCCCTGAACAGCCCTGAGAGCCATTGGGAAGCCTTTCTGAGCGGCAGGTGCACCCTGCTCACGGGCATCCTCTATGACCCATCACATAAGTGAGGTACCATGGCTCAGCCCTGGCTCCTGCCCTACTGAACTCGGGGAGTCAACAGCCTCTGGGTGCTAGCCCCGAATCTGCTGGGCCCTGACCCCCACCCTTCTTCCCAGACCAGTACATCCTACGGGAACTGGAGAAGAAGAAGATCCTGGTGTTTACCCCGTCACGGCGCGTGGGCGGCAAGCGGGTGGTGTGCTACGATGACCGCTTCATTGTGAAGCTGGCCTATGAGTCCGACGGAGTCGTGGTGTCCAACGACACGTACCGGGACCTTCAGAGTGAGCGGCAGGAGTGGAGGCGCTTCATCGAGGAACGGCTGCTCATGTACTCCTTCGTCAACGACAAGTACGCTCTGTCCTGGAGGCACCTGGTGGCCACCCAGAAGTGCCCTTGAAGGGGTGGGGTGGGAGGAGCTCTGTGGGATCCCTGCAGCTTCAGGAGTGAAGTGGACATTCAACGGTGTAAAATGGTCCAGGATGGGTTTTTAACTTGGGGTGACAGGATGTGGTCAGTGGTTCCAGGGTGACCTCCCTATACCTAACTCCCAGCACTGCCCCTGGATTCAGCTCCTAACTCTTCAGAGAGTTGTCCTAAAGGTGCCCAAGGGCTGAGGCCCACTGGACTGGGGGTCTTCCTTTCACTACCTCAGGAAGACCCCCACCAAGAGCTTAGAACAGTTCCAAGCTTCAGGGGCCATTCTTATTCTTCCTAGCGAGACTTGCCATCCGACCCCCGGCCTCAGCAGTAAGAAATTTTGTTTCATGCACCCCACCCACTGAGAGGTCTCTCTCTCTGCAGATTTATGCCCCCCGATGATCCCCTGGGTCGGCATGGGCCCAGCCTGGACAACTTCCTCCGTAAGAAGCCACTCTTCTCAGAACAGAAGAAGCAGCCATGCCCCTATGGTAAGAGAATCATCTTCGCCTCCAAAGCGTGCCTCACTCTTCCTCTGCCCGTCTTCCACTGGGAGACCACCCCAGCCCCATGCTTCGGGGCCAACACCCTTCCCCTCCTACCCTCGCTCCAGCAGCATCCTGCTCAGGGTTCCTCCTGATTCCTCTTCCAGGGAGGAAATGCACCTATGGCATCAAGTGCCGATTCTTCCACCCCGAGCGGCCAAGCTGTCCCCGGCGCTCCGTGGCTGATGAGCTGCGTGCCAATGCCCGCTTCTCACCTCCCAGGGCTCAAGGCAAGGACAAGAGTAGCCGGCGTCCCTCGCCTTCACCTCAGCCCAGCTCACTGCCCACAGAGAGTGAGCAGTGCAGCCCGGACAGGAAGAAGCTGGGAACCCGTCGGGAGGGTCTGACGCAGACCTTTGGCCCAGCGGGCAGGAGCCTCCCGCCTAGCGGAGGCAGTGGAGGCAGCTTCGGGCCCACAGACTGGTTCCCCCAGACCCTGGACTCACTTCCGTGTACCTCCCAGGACTACCTGGACTCGGGCATCGGCTCCCTGGAGAGCCAGATGTCAGAACTGTGGGGTATTCGTGGAGGAGGCCCTGGGGAGCCAGTGGCACCTCGGCACACATACACTGGCTATAGCCAATACGGATCGGAACTCCCGGCGACTCCGGCCTTCCCTGCCTTTGGACAGGCTGTGGGTGCTGGCCACTTCAGTGTGCCTGAGTATGTACCCCCGCCACCCACCTACCCACCTCGAGAGTACTGGTCTGAACCATACCCGCTGCCCCCACCAGCCCCAGTCCTACAGGAGCCCCAGGTGCAGGGCCCCCGGATGGACAGGAATCCATGGGGTGGGGCAGGCAGCCTCGCCAAGGAGCGGGCCAGTGTGTACACCAAGCTCTGTGGTGTCTTTCCCCCACACCTGGTGGAGGCAGTGATGGGGCGCTTCCCACAGCTCCTGGACCCCCAGCAGTTGGCGGCCAAGATCCTCTCCTACAAATCCCAAAACCTCAATGGGTAAGCCGGCCCTGGGGGCACTTGGGCCAGCACTTCTAGCCTCCCTGGGCTGCTCGGCTGCCCACACTGGTGGCTGGATGGAGAGGACTAAAGTAGGGAAGGGAACCCACAAACCAAAGATACTGTAGGATTGATTCTGGCCCATGCGGCACCTCAAGCTGTCTGCCCGGTGGGTCAGAAGCGATCACCCTGTTGATACACATTGTATCTCTAGTTTAAGGAGACGCTGCCGGTAACGGCTATCGGTCCGTGGCTGAGGCCCAAACCCTCCTTTCTCTCGGAGGGCGGGGAGGGAGGCAGGGGAGCAGAGGCCTGGGCTGGGGGCTCTGTGCACCGCCCCCCCACCTCTACCCCGTCCCTGGGACGCCAGCCTTGGCTGACTAGTTGGGCACCATGTGCCTGCCCTCCAAGGGCCCCTCCTCTAAGCCAATGAGGCCTTGTCTGTGCTCTCACGGGGCACACAAGACTTCATGTTAGTAAGCAAGATGCTTCTTAATAACCCACTTCTTGCCCCCTCTGTTCACTCCTGCTGCCTCTGTCCTCATCCCTCTTCCTACCCTTTTCTCTGTACTTTGTTGCCTTGCCCTTCCCCAAGGGTGGGGGCTGTGTGTGTGTGTGTGTGTGTGTGTGTGTGTACAGGTGGAAAGTCCTTACTTCCTATAACAGATCAATAAAGTAAAACATGAGCCCCTCAGGGAAGTGATCTGCCTTTGTCATGCTTCGGGGGTCAACTTCAGCAGGTGTGTACCCCTGACCTGCCCTCCACCGGAACGTTTCAGGGGTCTCCCTATGGGGCAGAGACAGCTCTGCTGAGGCTTTGGGCCAAGTATGTGGCCACTGGAGAGGGGGTGGAGGAGCAAGAGCTCAGAAGCAGAAGTGTAAGTGGGTTTGGGGTGCTGTTGCTAGAGACCAGGGAGGGGTCTGCTTCCCTTTTCTGTGCTGTGGCAAGGGTGAGGACAGGAAACCTGCCTGCAGGGGCAAGGAAGAGAAGTTGGCTTCTGGGAGCAATGGATTGGGTGGAATGTGTGTGGGAGGCCTTGGGCACTGAGCTCTTGGCCTGTCCTCCCAGATAGCACCTCGTTCTAGACCCAGGCCCGGAGAACAGGGCCAGCCTGTAGACATGGGAGGAGGCGGAGGTCATGGTCTCGAGTTCAGAACTGGCTCTCCCATTAACTATGTCACGTGGGGTGAGTGACTATGACTAGCCCTTTCTGAGTCCCAGTGTCCTCACCTGTGAACTGGTGATAACCGTGTGCCTACCTCACAGGGTGGTGTGGAGGGCATAGCCCAGTCCCTGGCACACACTACAAGCTTATTGAGAAGTTGGCTAGCGTCAGTCTCTGGCCCGAGCTCCCATTGCCTTTCTCTCCACCACCTCCAACTTCTCATCCCACCCAAGAAGGAAGTCAAGTCTTTTAGATAAATAAAAAAAAGAAAACGTGAAAGTGAAAAGTTGGGCGGCTGTCACATGACCCTCACACAACCACAGCTGGGGATAATCAAAAAAAGCAATGTTTTAATGATTGTCATCTTCGAACATCTCGTCTTAATTTATATGTTTTGTTTCTGATGCTTTTATAGTATCTTGTTTTTTTTTAAAGAAAGTGCTTTGTGTCAGAACAGCTGGTGTAGCATCTTGGAGAAAATGCCACACTGGTGACTCCCCTGCACACTGGCCTCCCATCTTTGTTCTTTACCCTGAACATTCTGCAGAAGCCTGCAGGAATCAATGCCCAATGTAGAAAACATTTCAGATAGCATTAACTCAGGGCGCCCCCACATCCCGAAGGACTTGGCAAAGTAACCTTCTACCTCCTCATGAGGATTGGTCTGCCCCAAGAAATGTTGCTGCATTTGAATTTTTTCCAATCAAGAACTGTATTCCAGATTAAAATGCTACTTATGGACCTGTTGTTTGCTTTCTGGGACAGGAACCTAAAATACTAGACTGTCCAGTTCATTATCAGCCTTTGGCAGTGCTGCGTGGCTTGCCCAAGGTCCCTCAGATGAGACAAACAGTAGCAAGGCCACAAGGGCTGGTCCCCTGGCCCCAGAAATATGAGGGGGAGACACTAGCTTCCAGTCGTTATAAAGCCCCACCCCTCACAGCCCTCAGATTTCCAGCATAGTCACTTAGGCATCCCTCCTACAAGATAGACAGCTCAAAGACCACCCCATCTACTCAGCAGTGGCCACCCCATCCCACCCAGGTCCCTCTGCTTTCTGCTTCTGCACACAAGTGGTGGAGTTTGAAGGCCAAAGCTTCCTGACGGCCTGGAAGGAGAAGCAGGGAGCTCTCCCAGCCCTCTTCCATCCTACCAGCTAGATGGCTACAGGCTTGGGGGTTCATACTTGCTCTTTAACCATAGCTGAATGCTGCTGTCATTTACTGCTGCTGTATTTCTGCTGGGGGGAGGGGGGGTGTCTATATGCAGGTGGAGTGGGCGGCAGCCCTGTAGCAAATGGATATAGGCTGTGACTGCCCAGCTGGCCCACTGACAGGGCTGGGCTCAAACGAGTTGAGTCAATTCAAGCCCATTCGGCCTAAGACTGCATCCTGTGCTTTCCCGGCAGAGCGAGCAGCCATCCAGGGTTTAGACCCTCCTCTCAGGCCTCTTTCTCAATCTGGCTTCCAGGCAGAGCCACTTGGAGGCTGCCAAGCTTAATTCCCCAGCTGTTTCATTCCCATAGGCATGTGAATTTTAACCAGGAGTTCTCCCTGCAGGTGGCACTTACTCCCAGGCTCCCTTCCCTGTAAAGTGGACACTTGTCTCTCTGGATTTGATAGACGTCAGTGCCGGTGGTGACAGGGTTTCCAGTCCCCTGTGTCACTTGCTGTGTCCTAGATCTTCAGCTCTCTTGCCTGCCTGGCTGTCAGCTCATACGGGCAAGCTATGAAGGAGAGCAGCAGGTCTGCCATCACGTGACTCCCATCACGACAGCTCCAGCCACTCTTTCCTCCCCTGGTTTTCCTGGTTCCAGGAGCTGAGAAACTGATGGGGCAACTAGTGAGTATGCAAATTCTGGCATTGTTGGGAAATGATCATGGAGCCTCCAGCTGCCCCTCCCCTCACTCCATCAGCTGAGGCTGACCCTGGGTTCTATTACAAGTCAAGTCTCCTTGGGGCCCAGATGCTGGAAGCCAGGGCACTGTGGCCTGTCTGTCCTTAGGAAACCTCAGACTGCCCAGGCAGAGGACCGGCCCACACAGCATGAAATTCCCAGTCCTGGATGTCCCTGCCCATACTTAATCCCCATCTGCCCACTTCTCCAGCCTGGGGGAAACCCAGCAGTCTCTAAAGAGCTGAGGACATAAACTAGGAGCTAGGAGAGCTTTTCAGCTCTATGGGACAGCTCTGTCACAACCCTCCCCTGCTGCTAATGAACAGAAAAAGGTAAAAACATTCACTGTCTTCTCCGCCCAGGAGTCCAGCTAGAATGTTAATCAGGTTACTGAGTGAGACCAATCCTCTGGTTCCCTCCTGTCTTCAAACAGGTCCACAACTTAACCACTCCCCAATTCTGACCCCATATAAGTCTGTACTGCCCTGTATTCGGGGCTCAGAATCTGGAGAAATTAGCTCCTCTGAGCCAGCTGGCTTACTCTGAAATTCTGCTTCACCTCTCCAAGTGGCCTTGGTTTCATTTCATCGAGGACAGATCAAAAGCTGCTGAGACACTCTGGAATCTAAAACTGCTGTAACACTAACATCCCAACACAGCTGGTCTCCTGAGGGGGCCACTTGGTGCCTCTTCCTACCAGCCTAATTCTCTGAGCCAGCCCTCCTCCCTTAAGTGTCCTGGAAAGGCCAGTGTTCGCCACTCCCTGCACAGAAGGAGCCCCTGGTTGCATGGAGGCTAAATGCGAGGCTGCTAACTGAAAGGTTCATGGTGCAACACTTGCAGCTCCACTGGGCGCTGGGAAACCTGAGTGCAAACTCTAGCACCAGCACCAGCTGTGATGGAAAGATCTGGAGATCTGCTTCTGTAAAAAACGACAGCCATAAGAACCCTGTGGGGCAGTTCTACTTTGTCATGTGGGGCCACTGATTCGAATACCTCCCGGAGGACTTACTTATCCAGCAAGACCCCTGACATGGGGGAAATGCTGAGCAGACCTCTGTCAGAGACAGAGTCAGTGAGCAGCAGAGAAAATGGGATCCAATGAGAGATGTCTCTGGAGATTGGGGTGGGGAGAAGGGGTCTATCTGAGCCAGAACCCAGAACTTCTACCCCAGTTCTCAAACCGCGGGCTTATGATTTTCCTAGGCCACAGAAGAGTGGGTGGGGCAGACGGTGGTGAGTAAGAGCCTGAGCTGGGGACCTCCTAGTTCATGGGAAGGGTGTGGGAGATTGGCTAAAAGCGGCAGGAAGTAGGGCCCTAGAATCTAGGAAACCCAAGCCATCCCAGGCCATGGCATGTAAATTATTTCTGCTAGTTCCTGGAGGGGGAGTGGCTCCATGTCACCCTGGGTGTGGTCTCAGGAAGCTCCTATCCAGACAGCTGCTGCTGATCTGAAACAGCTCACCCATTTAAGACACGGGTGCAAAACTAGATGGGAGGAAAGGGCAAGGCAGCTTAGTCCCTACTCATCTACCACACACACATATACACACAGACTTGGGCATGTTGCTGAGAGGCCAAGTCACTAAGAAAGGTCCAAAGGCTCTGGTTCTGTCTGCACTCCAGGGAAGACCTTCACTACAGACCAGCAGGCTCCTGGTATCCTGCCTGCCCCCTGCCGGGGTGTCCTGGAAATACACTTGTGGAGCAGTAAGAACCAACTGGCAAGAATCCTCATGAACTTAAAAATGAGACCCCTAAAGAGAGGAAGCTACCTCTAGACTGTCAGTTTGTCATACTGTGGTGGCTTGTGTGTTGCTGTGGTTCTGGAAGCTATGTTACTGGTATTTAAAATATCAGCAGGGTCATCCATGGTGGACAGGTTTCAGATGAACTTCCAAACCAACACAGACTAGGAAGGAGAAATGGACTACTTCCGA